TATTTATCAAAAAACTGATGGGTTCACTTACAGTTTAGGTGGAAAAAATTTAATTTTATCTATGATATCAAATATATAGATTAAAAAACAATTGTAATGTCCCATAACATGTTTTATCAGCTTTGTGGCCATCATTTGCTTTGTGGTTCAAAGAATCACCTCTATAAGATTAAGCTAAAACTTTGCCATTAAACAAATATAGTGGTGCTCTTTATTACTTTTCAGTAGTTTATGATAACAAGAGATTGAACCTATCATAATTCAACATAAATATGACCTTGGCCCCAACTAGATAGTCTCTCTTTACTATGCTCTTGCATCATCAGACCATATTCTCTAATATTCTCTTTCTTACCTTTTTAAAGAGGAAGATAACTAGCACAGGAGTGCTTCAAATTTTCAACTTACTTATTTCAACAAGATTATTTACTCCCAAGACTTCTCATCAAATACTGATATGATCAATACTTTATTTTAATTTTAAACAAAGCTGAACGAAAATGGAAGATAAATAATTTTTATTTCCACACTCCCTCACTTGGCATGCAATGCTTTGGCCATGGCTTGCCTCTCAGCCCCATCTCTCACCAGGCCTTCCCTTCAAGTCTGAGCTCTGTCCATATGGAACTACTGGCAGTTTCCTAAAAGTGCCATTCCATTTACAATTTTGTGCCTGTGCTCCCCGTACCAATCTTACCCAAGTCTTAAGGAAAATGCTGATGCCAATAGACAGCTGGTTTACAAATGCATCTATAACACTTGATTACACTTTTTGATTTGTGTCTCTGGCCCCTACTAGGCTGTAACTTTCTCAGAAACAGAAACCATGCCATTAATTTTCCCCCCAGAACTAGCTAAATGCCCAGTACAGATGTTCATTAACTGTGCATCTATCTACCAAATAAATCATCTTTTTTTACATGCTAAAAACACCCAGAATAACAATAGGAGTTGAACTGGAAGGAAAATCCAGGAGGTAAGTGTCAAAGTCTGCAAATAACTTCGGGAGACCTGGGACTGATGGGTTACCCAAAGAGGATGACAGTAGATGTAAGTAGTAAAAGTAAACAGGATGGTACCTAGTGTAAGACTTGAAGGACAAAGGGGTTTTGCACCTCTGTGGATGAAAGCACAAGGGGAAACCAACTGAATGGCAATACTGCCTCCCAGTGGCAACTAGGATAAAAACCTCCATACCAGAGCACTTGCACCGAATAGCTTTCTCACACTGAGTGGTTCTGGCCTATGAAGTGTGCCAGGGACCTCTCACTTTATCTCATTTCATTCTCACGGCAACCCCTTGTAGAGACACAGCATGTAGCTTAGGGGTTAAAAGCACAGACTGTGGATCCAGGCTATCTGGCTTTCCCACTTACGAGCTAGTGTGAACTTGGACGAAGTATTTAAATTCTCTGCGTATTTCTCTATCTATAAAATAGGGATAGTATTAGTATCTACCATATAGGGTTCTTAACGAGGGATAACATTTTTTAAATTTTTTTAATGTTTATTTTTGAGAGAGAGAGAGAGAGCACAAGCATGGGGTGGCGGGCAAAGAGAGAAAGGGAGACACAATCCAAAGCAGGTTCCAGGTTTTAAGCTGTCAGCACAGAGCCTGACACGGGGCTCAAACCCACAAACTGTGAGATCATGACCTAAGCCGAAGTCGGATGCTTAACCGACTGAGCCACCCAGGCGCCTCACAAAGGATAAAAGTTTTTTAACAATTCTATACATTACTCAGTGTTTACCACGATAAGTGTAGTTATCATCTGTCACCAACAGTGTTATTACAATCTTATGGACTATATCCCCTATGCTGTGACTATTTCTGTGACTGTTTATTTTATAACTGAGAGTTAATACTTCTTAATCCCCTTTATCTATTCCGCCCATCCCCTACCCACCTCCTCTCTAGCAACCACCAGTTTGTTCTCTGTGTCTAAGAGTCTGTTTCTTTGTTTGTCTTTTTGTTTCTTAGATTCCACATGAGTGAAATCATAAGGTATTTGTCTTTCTGTCTCACTTATTTCACTTAGCATTATATTCTCTAGGTCCATTCGTGTTGTTGCAAATGGCAAGATCTCATTCTCTTTTATGGCTGATTACTATTCCATTGTATGTGTCTATAAATATATCACATCTTTACCCATTCATCTATTGGTGGATACTTGGGTTGCCTCCATAACTTTGCTACTGTAAATAATGCTGCAATAAATACAGTGGTGCATATATCTTTTCTAATTAGTGCTTTCATTTTCTTTGGGTAGATACCAAGTAGTGGAATTAACGGATCATGGTATTTCTATTTTTAATTTTTTGAGGAAGTTCCATACTGTTTTCCATAGTAGCTGCATCAATTTACATTTCCACCAGCAATTCACAAGGGTTCTTTTTTCTCTACATCCTTGCCAACACCTATTTTTTCTTCTCTTCTTTATTTTAGC